CTTGGAACAATGGCGAGTGTCTGTTGTCTGTATCAGGGTTGTTGCGAATATTCGCATTCGCATTCGCATTCGCAACCGCGGAGCTTCCGCATTAATTTTAACATTCGCATTCGCAATAATCAATGCGGAGCTTTTGCGAATGCGAATGTTGTGCAAGTGCACAAATGACAATTGGGAGTATTTATCAACTTCGATAAAAATGTCTTTAAACATATTATTTCTTAAGCTATATAACCGAGCTATCAATGGGCAGTCATACAAGTTCCCACTTTTGCTAGACCTTTGACGTACGTCAAATAGAACATAGTCCTTTTAATAATATTTTTTTTTGTTTTTTTTGTGCTTTAAATACCTTGCCCTGGTTTCTTTCTTTATTATTATTATTTTTTTTGGACCAATCTTTAAAAAACTCCTAGACATAAAAGAAAAAAAGTGTGCACTGTAATTTTAAAGCAAATTTTCGTGATTTGCTTTTTATGTTACACTAGCAAATGCCTGGCTTGCTTCGCGACGCCTGATAAGAACTTTTGCGTTGACCAATACAAAAATAGATTTGAAATGCAAAAGGGGTTTGTAATGTAAACACTATTCGGCTTCGGTTGAAAGGTTAAATCTTGCTGTTCCACAGGAACAGAGGAAGAAAGAGTTTTCTCGCTCAAACGGGGTCTCATTTATGTTCATATTGTGTTATTTTTAATTCGTCCCACTTTTTCTTGATATACTCATGGCCCGTTGATGTGTCTAGGACATCTGTGGCGCCTTAAAAATTCTGCGCTTGTTTGTATTCATACTTAAAGGATGGGGCTTTATTAAGTCATCTAAAAAGTAAACTTTGTAGAGCGGTATCTAAATATCTTGATTCCAGCGCCATTTACTTTTTGGGTACGTTTTTTGCTGAAGCACTTCTTATCAAAAAAAATACCCGTTAACCCAGGTAGTACGATAAAGACGGATTCTTTAATATCTCGACTCCAGCGCTATCTTTCGGCAGAACTTTTTGCAAAAGTATATTTTTTTTTGATGCATTCGGATGTCTAAAATTCCACATTCGCAACATCCCTAGTCTGCATGTATACATGTATGTACATATGTACATTTATATTTAAATAAAATATGTGTATGTATGTATATAATTGTATTTTCTTAACCGCAAGGGTCAGGTGTATTAACTGATTGTATGCAATTATTTCCTTAAAAAAAAACTGCATAGTAAACTTTTTTTTTTTTAAATTTAATAACATATGTATTTTTTCATGAACCAAGTATGCGCTCATGTTTTTAATTAAATTTTACATGACGTAAACAGTGCATTATACTGTCTAGAATCTAGGCTCTTGCACAGTGAAAATAAATTTGTGGCATTTTGAAAAAACGTCTAAAGTATCTTTAGACAGTGGCGGATCGTGAGCTCGATTTTTTGGGATGGGTAAAATAAGAGTATATATTTTATTAGATTATATATCTATATATATATATATACGTATATAACAAAGTCGTGTTAGTTACACCATTTATAACTCAAGAACAGCTGGACCGATTTTTATATTTATTTTTTGAATTTACCTACCTTCCGAATAGCAGAATAACTGTTAAAACAACCGCTAGGTGGCGCTGGAGTCGAGTTATTAGTAAAACCCTTATTTTTGGTCCGATTCGCCTCATTTTTGAGACATGTATTGACAACAGCAAAAAAAATACCATTGCAAAAAAAAAAGAGCCGCCAGGTGGCGTTGGAGTCGAGTTATTACTAAAAATCGTGTTTATGGTCCGATTCGTCTCATATTCGAGATATGTATTGATAACAGGAAAAAGAATTCTTTCGAAAAAAATTTGAAAAGGGGGCGTAGTACCTCCCATACAACCCGAATATTTCATATTTCTGGAAGCGTTCATTGTTTTGAACTTAGTACGAAAATATATGAAATCAATCACATATTCATAGAGAAAAATTGGAATTATTGGAAAAGGGCGTGGCACCTCATATACAACCGAATTTTTCACATTGTATATCTCTGCAAATGTTCATGGTAGAGTACTGGAACTTGGTATGGAGGTACTATGTATGTATATGAACTCAATCGCATACTCTTGAGAAAAATTTGAGCTATTGTAAAAGCGCGTGGGCCCTCCGATCCAATACGAATTTTTCATACTGCATTTCTCTGGAAGTGTCCATGGTACAGCACTGGAACTGGGTATGGGAATATATAAAATCATGAAGAAAAATTCGGACTATTTGAAAAGGTAGCGTGGCTCCTCCCATATAAACCGAATTTTTCATAATAAGTATCTCTGGAAGTGTTTATGGTAGAGTACGGGAACTTTATACCGGCGTGGCACCTGCCCTTACAAGTCGAATTTTTCTTATTGCATATCTCTAGAATTGTTCTTGGTAGATTACTGGAACTTGGTGTGGAGATATATGATATTAATCGCATAGTCATGGAGAAAATATGGAGCTATTGTAAAAGGGGCGTGGCACCTACCATACAAGCCGGATTTCATACTGCATATCTCTGGATGTGTTCATGGTACAGTACTGGAACTTCGTATGGGGATATATGAAATCAATTCCATATTCATGGAGAAAAATGGGCTCTTTGAAAAGAGGGCATGGCAAAGCACAAACGTACTGACTTTTACTTATCCTTGAAAATCCTAAATGGCTGGAGGGATTTCAACAACGTTTTGTGTGTGTGTGTTTGAGTGGGTCTCTGGATAGTTTAGTTTCACAATTTAACCCGCCAGTTGGCGCTGGAGTTGATTTATTACTAAAAATCGTTTTTTTATGATCCGATTTGGCGAATATTCAAAACATGTATTGCAAACGGTAAAGGCAGTCCAATCGCAAAAAAAGAGCTGTGAGGTGATGCTGAGGTCGGTTATTACTAAAAATCGACAAAAGAGAAAAGGTGCCGTGAATGTCAGACTAAATCGACCACTGTTGCACCATTGAGTTTATCGAACTCTCGTGTGTTACACGATTGGCCCAATGGATGTGATTTGCCAATATTATTATGCGTTAAAGCTTCACACACGGACACACCAGGGTTGAGTTGTGCAGTGGTAAATCTCAAATCACCACCTGTCGAAATACCTTAAAAGCCAGTTTGACAAAAAGCAATTTAATGAAATTTTTATTTTTTTTAATTGAAATTAATATAGAACCCGACAGAAAAAAATAACTTTCACTTAAATTGCTTTCGTGAAACTGGCTTTTAAGGTATTTCATCTCAGTCTATGTATGTATATTGTATTTCTGTTGAACAAGGAAGGATACGCATCCATTTTGAAATTGCCACCAACTAGATAAGATAAAGTTTCTAGAGCAGATTCACTATAGATCCGGCGGATCATTGTTGCCGCCAGGGAACTTCTTCATGGACATAACACTTTCGTTAGGTTATTTAAGGCGGCAAACGACCACACCAAACCATAATCTTAGCCGATGAATGTGCTAATGGAAATCGTAAACGTGGACTGTTGGAGAAAATGTTGGAACAAAATGGTTAAATTAAAAATCTAATTTTGGGCGGGACGAAATTCGCCGGATCTGCTAGTTGTTTATAAATGAACAGTGTGCTTTTTTAACACGCCATGCGAATTAATCGTAGCACTTTCGAAAGAAGCAACATTTTGATATGAAATAAAATGGTTTTGAAAGCTAATGTAATTGCCTTTCACAGAAAAATATTGCCCTTGAGCCACAATTACTCCTTGACCTTAAAAAACAAATTGGAAAAAATAGTGTTCTTCCAAAAAAATATTCAAAATCCCCCCGCTTTATTTAAAAAAAAAAAATAAATTATTTTTCATTATACTAATATTATAGATTTTGAGGCGACCTACACGATTCCACTGTTCAAAATTCGAATTTTTTTTTTATTTATTGCATTTTATTAAATACATGCAGCTGTGCATCCTTCATAAAACTTTATATCCCTCGAAGAACAAGTGCGTTTTAATGTAATTTAAGACCTATAATTTGAGCCAAGGTAACAGTCTTTAGACCCTTTCAGAGCCAAATTATAACGATTCTGAAGTCAGGATTTTCTTCCAAAGGACCATAAGCTATATTTCCAAAAGTTCACACAAAATATGGATATATGGGTATCAATTTAAAGAAAAAGTCAAAACAAGAGTAATCATAACTTTTGTTGTCAATTATTCTTTGGAACATGTCAAAAATGTCCTTTAAAAAAATTATCCTTCAGGATTTTTACTTTTGAATGGCGTTTCAAGAATCTTTGTTTAATTCAAATCCTATAGATGTATCTAAGAATATTGATAGATAAAAATTGCAAACGATATTTGCCTTTAAGAAAATAATAACTGTATTCTAAGAATATTTTTTCTGAAATACATTTGTGCTTTTTTGAAATACATTTGCCCTTTTATGAAATACATTTGCGTTTTTCTGAAAATCATTTGAACTTTTCTGAAATACAATTGTGTTTTTCTGAATTTCATTTGGCTTTTTCTGAAATACATTTGCATTTTTCTGAAATACATTTGCAATTTTCTGAAATACATTTGAGTTTTTCTGAAATTCATTTGACCCTTTCTGAAATACATTTGTGTTTTTTTCTGAAATACTGTTGGAAAAGGTGTACTAATATTATTGATAATTTTCAAAAATTCATTTCTGCCAACCAAAAGTATCAAAATGGGGCATTTGTGAACAAAAAAGTATCAAAGTATCAAATCTTAAAATTTAGAAAATAAAGTATCAAAAAAGATACAATTGTATCAAAACGGTAACGCTGATGCAGAGTCGGCGGTGTTCGGCATGACAAAGAAGAAAGAGAAATAAACTTATGCGAGCATAAATATATCTGTACATACATACATACGTATATGCATACATTTGAGAGTTGCTTTTCGCATACTAGGCGAATGAAATTGGAAATGAGATACGTTATAATTTTCGTACTCGTTGTGTTTCAATATATGTACATATATATACGCAGATCATATCGCTGCATTGTGCAAAACGAAATTTATTTTTATTCCGCTTGTACATCTGAGGGAAGACATCGAATTGATTTCGGAATTTAGGTTGTAGTTCGTTCGTAGTTAGTTCGCTTGTTTTAACACGCAATAATTGCTATAAAAACTAACTAATATTATTTAGTTATAGTAGTAGATAAGAATGCCGCGGTTGAAAAAAGAAGGCAGTAAGAAGCCAGCGTCCAAGGCGAGCAAAAGGCCTGCAGCAGCGTCGCATCCTGAGCGAGGAAGAAAGAAGCGTACCGTGGAAAATTTAGCTAAAGCAAGGAATGTTGTCAAAGGTATAAAAGGTAAATATCTGAAATGAAGGGCGACATTATTAAGCAGATTATCAAAGGTGTTTTTAAATATATCTGCGTATTTACGTTCATATAAGCATTGGTTTAGGCCAAACAACACCTTGGTTAAATTTCTGCGTTTTATTCGCCTTCATTACGGACGTTGCAAGATCATTCGTATAAAATTATCTGCGTATATACGGCGTATTTATAATGGGATTCAAAAGAAACAGCGACTTTATGTGTTATTTGGGGAAATATGTATATGCGGTTTTAGACACTTTCATTAAAGGTGAAGCAAATCCATTTGAACAAATATATCGGCGACCATAGGCGTATTTATAATTAGATACGTTGAAAGCGAAACAGCGACTTCGCTTGGATAATGTGGGGATATTTTTGCGGCCTAGTGTGGTTTTATGAAGCATTTAATAAAGTTTCCCCGGCGAAACTCCTGCGACTTAAGGCGTCTTTATGAATAAATTAATATACAGTGAAACCTCTCCTAACGGGCACCTCTATTAGACGGACATCTCCCTTGGGCGGACATTTTTTCCTATACCAAGTTTTAAGTATAAATTTCGGAACAAATTACTCTCTCTCTTAAGCGGACACTCTCTTGGCCGGACGCGGACAGTTATTTTGCATAAAACTGCAACACAAAAACCTCTATTGAGCGGACGCGAACCTCTTATCAACGGACATTAAGATTTCTTTTCATAACAAATCAAACAAAAACCCCCGTTGAGCGGACGCGAACTCCACATAGGCAGACTACTAAAAGGAAAAGGGGCACTTCCCGCATAAAATGTGATTTTTATGCACACATTTAGTTTGGTTTGCGCAGTAGTTTAGGTTCGTTATTTGAATTGTCAGAAACCCTTGGAGAATCCAATTCCGATTCTGATGAATTTATAACAATAGATATAATAATAAATACATGGACCGAAAATTTAGATTTCTGGTTGGATTTTCTTACTGATAAAAACATGAAAACTATTGATGAAAAAGGTACTGACACTGAAAAAAATTTAAAATAAAACTTACGTCAATCGAAAATTTCCCAGTTTTTCATGTAATGAATCTATGGTTTTATGTAGTTTATGGACTGAAATGTAATATTTATTTTTATTTTGTTATTACTTAATATGTACTTACGCACATAAATGAAATGTGCACTTTTGAAAAAATACATGCACATTTTTGTTTGAACGATGTAATATCAATATCTTTTATTCAAATAAGAAATAGTGACTATTCAATTAATTAAAACATTAAAAAGTTCTAAAATAAGCTTCCCTTCCATTGAGCGGACACCTCTCTTGGGCGGACAAAAAATGACTGACGGTGACGGTGACTGTCCGCCCAAGGGAGGTTTCACTGTAATATATTACAGCGACTTTAACAACATCTAGCGGATGCTGTTTACTATCAGGGAAACTGCGAGGTTTAAAGGCACTTTTCTGTTGCCTGGCGACTTGTGGAGAATAATAAAAGTATTCCTGCTGTCTGGGAAGCGTACCAGAGTTGTAATATCTATTTTAAGAGCTGTGATTTTGTTTCTGTATTTGCAGGGGATGAGCAAAGGACCGCAACGCAAGTAGAGAGGCAAGCAACAAGCGCGGAGGTACCTATTGAGAGCATTGCTAGCATGGAAAGGGCTGCACCTCAAAGAGTCGAAGGCGATATCAGTATTCGGGCGGATATAGATTTTACGGTATCTCAAATTCAGCGCCAGTCGGACTGGTTGGCGTCGGCGACATTTGAAGATGCGAATATTGAGATCATGAAGGCTCGCCTCGATATTTTGACTACGGCCTGGGGGAAATTTGAATTAAAATCTCAAGAGTTGCAACAAACATCGCAAAATGAATTGCAACAGGCGGATGATATCACACGTCAACTGAGGGTTGAGGATGTCTACGTGAGAGTTCGGGCGGGGTTAAGTCAGCAGATAAAGGCATTAGAACCAATCTCATCTACTGCCACATGCACTCATGCCAATAATCGGGCACTGCAGTTACGTTTTGCAGAATTGCCTTTGGCAGATCGGCTCCCAATATTTCGCGGAAATTATCGGGAGTGGATTCAGTTTAGGGACATATTTACAGCCGAAGTTATTCGAAATCCACACATCACGAACTTGCAACGACTTGGGCGGTTGCAAAACTGTGTTAAGGAGGATGCTGCCAGGGCAATGGGATACTGGCCGCAGCTAGAAAAAAGCTTTGCCGAGGCATGGAAGACATTGTGTGTAGCATTCGATAACGAATATCTATGTCACGCGGCACACTTCTCCGCTATTTACGGTCTGCCTAGTTGGTCGAGGGCTACCCATTCCTTAATTAGAAATATGCTTGACGTTACGCGCAACAGTATGCGTATGATTTCAAGACAATTAGGAGCCGCGGAGCAACGAGATTTACTCATTTTAAATTTTCTTGAATCTCGTTTAGACAGCATATCCCGTAGACAGTGGGAGATGGTACGACCCACAGACCGTATCCCCAATTTGCAAAATGATTTCTTTGCATGGCTTGAACGTCGGATCAGCGGGCTGTTGAGTCAGGGAATACAACCTTTGGCTAATCATAGCGAAAAGCGTGTCATCAATCCGCTGATTAATCAGCGCATGAGGTTGAACGCTTCGTCAGTGTCCAACTATAATCCCTGCCTTAATTGTTCAGGAGATCACGCCTTCCACCGGTGCCCTGGGACTGGACGTATGAGCCGGGAGGACAAAATCAAACGGATTTTCGAGCTGGGGCTATGTCAGAATTGTTTGAGGAGAGGCCATACTGCCCGAAACTGTTTGTCAAGCCGCTGCCCCCGGTGCGCAAGGACACCTCACAACAGCATAATATGCCCAAAACTATCAGCAATGAGTTCCAAAGATGAGGCTTCTCGCGTCACGATGCTAGCAACAGTAGCTAAGGTCGTACCGAGGAAGGAGCAATAGCAATTAGCCAATAAAAAGGAAACCGGCCTCGGGGGTTTCAGCAGTGTTGCTTCGCCACAAACATCCGAGCATATAAAATCTACCATAACACAGGGCGGAGCTATTGATTTTTATGCCAATTTATTGGCTACAGCGCAGGTGCGCTTTCTAACCCGTTGTGGAACGACAGTGAGAGTACGCGCAATATGCGATACGGGCGCACAGGTGAACTTGGTCAGCAAACATTTTGTGAAGGATAACCAAATTTCTACACGCCGAATCAGGATTGGTGTATCATCTGCTATTAAGGAGGGATCTCATATCTGTGACAAATCAATCACCGGCCATTTGATGTCAGTTTACAATGACGATCTCCGGACGCTCATTACATGTCTAGTAGTACCATCGGTATTGGGAGAAATATTACTGCCCCAAAGACGTTTACAAAGGCAAGACTTGCCAAGTGATATATCGACACATTTAGCGGATCCAACCTTTGATCAACCAGCGAAAGTTCAAATGCTATTAGGCGTTGGTGTATGGGCTACACTGATGCAAGATAATATGCGGAGATTATCTTCGAGCTTCGTTGCACAAGAGACGCGCTTAGGTTGGTTGCTTTTTGGCGAGGTCCCAACTAATGCTAACCTGGTCACGGCCAACATCACAAAGGACATGAACCAAGCTGAAGGCGATTCTCATCTTGACCAACTGTTACGAGGGTTCTTTGAATCTGAGAGCTTAACGGGCGACGAGTCAAGTTGGACAGCAGAGCAACAAGCGTGCGAAGATCATTTTATAAAAACGCACAAGTTTGACTCACATGCAGGGCGTTATATTTTACAAATTCCTCTGCGGTCCCATTGGGGTAGTATCGGTTCCAATCGGGCGATAGCGCTGCAACGATTCTTACGATTGGAAAAACGTTTCAGACGAGATGCGGAGTTAAAGGAGAAATATTTCACGTTCATTAATGAATACGTAGCGAAAGACTGGCTACGTCCAGCAACTAGGCCGGATGCAGGAAAATCTTATTATATTCCCCACCATGCGATAACGAAAAAATTTCGTGTAGTCTTTGATGCGTCTTGTTTGACTGATACCGGAGTATCGCTGAATGATGTCCAAATGATCGGACCGAAGTTACAACCAGATTTGATTGATCTTCTTTGGGGATTTCGATTGAATGCCTATGGTGTCTCAGCAGACATCAAGCAGATGTTTCCTCAGGTGAAGATAGCAAATCAGCATTGGGACCTGCAACGCATATTTTGGAGGGACCATTCAGGAAAAATAACAGAATATTGGCTCACTGGAGTGACGTTTGGGATGGCATCAGCTCCCTTTTGTGCAGTGCGAGCAATGCAACAGTGTGCCAGAGACAATGCATCTAGGTGGCCTCTGGGAGCTAGAGCCGTCTTGGATAATTTTTATATGGATGATTGTCTGGTCGGCGCAGACACGGAGGAGGAACTCTTACTATTATGCCAACAAATGCAGAAGCTTTTGAAAGCAGGGGGCTTTGAACTAACCAAGTTTCGATCAAATTCGAACTATATTCACCGCTCTATCGATACACAATCAGCTGGAGACGATGTTTGGTTGAATACCCATATGGAAGCATCGGTACTTGGTCTCAAATGGATTCCCTCAACGGATGAGTTTGCCTTCGCAGTGCAATCGTTACCGGATGCGGACTCTGCTTGTTGGACTAAACGATCAGTTTTAAGTATAACGGCACGAATTTACGATCCTGATGGGCTAGCAGCACCTTTTATAATAAATGCAAAAATATTAATTCAAAAAATTTGGAAGGAAAAGCAAGGGTGGGATGCTATGTTACCAGAGCCTTTGAAGGTGGCATGGCAGAGTATTTTCTCCCAAATTCCACACTTTGATAACCTTCGTATACCGCGATGGATAGGCTACTCTCGACGATTAAATATGACTTTGCATGGATTTTCCGATGCATCAACGCAGGCCTTCGGAGCGGCCGTGTACGTGGTAATGCATGCCGAAGAGGGCGTCAAATCCAATGTGCTGTTAACCAAATCTAGAGTCGCGCCTCTACGAGCGGAAACCATACCACGTCTCGAACTGCGAGCCGCAACGTTACTCAGCGAACTAATGCAACGGGTGGTGATGGTTTGCGAAACTCAACATCGCATAAAGATCGGTTCGATGACGTGTTGGTCCGACTCTATGGTAGTACTCTGCTGGTTGCGACGGGATAAGAGTAGTCTCAAACAATTTGTAGCGAATCGCGTGCGACAAATCAATATCAATACAACCAATTGCGAGTGGAGGTATGTGCCCACTGAAAAGAATCCAGCTGACTTTATTTCTAGAGGAATGTCGATGGTTGAATTAATGTCTTCCCGACTATGGTGGCAAGGGCCTGTTTTCCTCCGACTGCCAAGAGTCATGTGGCCGAAACCGCCAGAAGGGGTGTCGGAAAAGGTTGAAACAGAGGCGAAGAAGGAATGCCGCCGTGAAAAAATCCATACTGAAAAGGCAGATAATCAATTCGTCGCCAGGGTCAGCATTATATCTATTAAACAAATGTCATTATTGGAGCGTTATTCATCAATCAATCGATTAATAAGAGTAACGGCTTGGGTACTTAGGTTCGCACAGAATTGTCGATCACCAATGACAGAGAGGCAGAAACTCTATTTAAGCGTTAAGGAGCTCGAATATTCATTGGCATTCTGGATGCGGCAAGAGCAAGGCGACTATTATGCGGACGACATCCGAACGTTACAGCACTGTGCCCAGAACAAGAAAACTCTAGAGGGTTCTAAATTATCGAATGCGATTGGAATACTAGCACCGTTTATTCAAGATGGAATACTGCGTATGAGTGGACGACTAAAAGAAGCGGACTTGCCTGACACCCAATGTAACCCAGCGATATTACCAGGCAAGGGGAGATTGGCCTGGTTGATTGCACGAATGATACATTTGAAACTTTTGCATTGCGGGGCACAGCAGCTAATCGCGACATTGAGGCAAACCTATTGGATTATAGGCGTGCGGACTTTAGCGAGATCCCTGATCAAGGGATGCGTAAGGTGCGAAAGGCTGAGATCCAAAATGAGCGAGGAGATAATGGCAAATCTTCCGGCTTGCCGAGTATGTCCAGCACGTCCGTTTGTGCATGCGGGAATCGATTACGCAGGACCCATACAAGTGCGTCCCGATCGTCGAAGGGGTAATGTAGTCATAAAGGGGTATATCGCGATTTTCGTGTGTATGGTATCGAAAGCGGTGCACTTGGAATTTGTACCGGATTTGTCTACCAAGGCCTTTATTATGGCTTTTATTCGCTTTACTTCGCGCTATGGACATTGTCTACACCTCTGGAGCGATAACGGCACCAATTTTGTAGGGGCAGAGCGAGAGCTAAGTCGGATGTTGCAGACTTGGCAGAAATCTGACCTCTTTGAACAACTGGCAGCGCGTCAAACCGAGTGGCATTTCATCACTCCTTCTGAACCGCACCAAGGTGGTCTTTGGGAGGCGGCCGTAAAGGCTGCTAAGCACCATCTACGCCGGGTGATGGGAGCTCGCTTATTAACCATCGAAGCTGTGCAGACATTGTTGGCAGAATTTGGGGCTGTCCTCAACTCTCGTCCATTATGTGCCCAAAGTGCGGATCCTCGAGACTTGAATCCTCTAACACCCGGTCATTTATTAATTGGAGAATCCTTGGTACCAGCTCTAGGCGAGCAAGTACCAGTAGTAGAATGGTCGGAGAATCGCCTCGACTATTGGGAGTCTCGGCAGCTAATCACGCAAAGATTTTGGAAATTGTGGAGCAATAGCTATCTACATGAACTCCAACAGCGTCCCAAATGGCGGGAAGTAAGACG